ATTTCTTTAAAGCTTTTGACACCACTGAGCATCCTTTCATCTATTTTTGTTTAGAAAAATTCGGTTTTGGACCCTACTTTTGTAATGCAATGAGTACAATGTATGCTGGGGGAAATAGCTCAGTGAAATTAGGACATGGAACTACACAGAGATTTCTATTAGAAAGAGGAATTCGGCAGGGCTGTCCAGCCTCTGTATACTTATTTCTTATAGTAGGCCAAGTCTTCTGTCACTTTATTAAGGCAAGTAAACTAGATGGAATTCAAATTGCTGGACGAAATATTTTAATTAGTCAGTTAGCGGACGATACAGCCTTATTTTTAAAAGACTCAAACCAGGTTCATCAGGCTATCAAATCCATTCAGTTGTTCTCTAAAGCCTCGGGTTTGCACCTTAACCTTAAAAAATGTGAAATATTAGCTTTAAAAAACTCTCCCCTATTATCTGTAGAAGGTATACCAGTTAAAGAAGCCGTTAACTATTTAGGTGTTGTCATTTCAAAAAAAGAACAAGACAGAGTTTCCTTAAACTTTAACCCTGTTTTCGAAAGGATAAAAAGTAAATTCAATCTTTGGTTATTAAGGGATTTGTCCTTAAGGGGCAGAGTTCTTCTTTCAAAAGCAGAAGGAATTTCTAGATTAACCTATTTTGCTTCAACCTTATATCTAGATAATAAAACAGTCAAGTCTATTGATACGATTTTATTTAATTTCTTATGGAAGAATCGTGTACACTACATGCGCAAATCGGTTGTTTTAAATTCCCTTAAAAATGGGGGTCTTGACTTTTTGGATTTCTCTTCTCTAAATAATACTCTTAAAATTAATTGGTTAAAGTTTTGTCTGAATAAACCTTCTTTCTGGAATTTTATTCCCAATTTTATTTTTGACCAACTTGGAGGTCTTTCCTTTTTATTATTATGCGATTATAAAATTGAGAAATTACCAGTGAAGCTCTCTGCTTTTCATGCTCAAGCCTTGTTGGCGTGGAAACTGATCTACAAGCACAATTTTTCACCACAATGTTATTTTATTTGGAACAATAGATGTATTTTGTATAAATGCAAGAGTATCTTTTTGGAGAGGTGGTTTGAAAAGGGTATTGTTTTAGTTTGTCAATTATTTAACACTCAAGGGTATCTTATGACATATGACGAGTTTCTTGTACATTTTAACTTTCCTGTAACTCCCAAGGAATTTTCTCTTGTTTTCTCTGCAATTAATTCTAATATTGTTTCCTTATTTAGAGGTGTAACTTGGATTAATAAGCCCATAATCAAACTAGTTGATACAGTGTGTGGTAAAATTTGTTTCTCACAGTCTAAAAATAACAAATCTATTCGCTCTCTATTTGTAAATCAAGTTGTATCTAAACCTTGCTCTATTACCTATTGGAATAATTTTGTAAGAATTCCTAAATGGGAAAGTATTTGGTCATTGCCTCACAAATGTTTGGTTACAAATAAGATAAAAGAAATATCTTTTAAACTAATTCATAAATTCTATCCGGTTAAACATTTCCTAAGTAAATTTAAAAAGGATATTGATATAAATTGCTCTTTTTGTTCTTTGCATTTGGAAACTGTACCCCACCTTTTCTGGCACTGTGGTTATGTTAAAAAGCTCTGGTATGATGCTTCTGTTTTTATAAAGAAAAGGGTACTCTTTAACTTTAATTTGCATTATGAAACTGTAATTTTTGGGTATTTTAATTATGATAATTTGAATAATGAAGCTTTTGTTATTAACCTTTTGATTTTGCTAATTAACTTTCATATTCATAAGTGTAAATTTTCCAACAAAAAACCTTGTTTTACTGTGTTTTATAAGGAACTGAAAAATTACTTTTGCACTATTCAGCATAGTGCTAATCGAAAGGCCATTAAAACTGTCCAACTGTGCTCTAGTTTCAAAATATTTGATTAATGTAAAGGTCCTGCTTGATTATATTTGTAAGAATTTTTAGTTAAGTATCTATACTCTTATTTTTATGTTTGTTTTATTTTATTTTATGTATTGATGTTATCATTTACTTTCTATCACCCTGGCATTGTTTTGTTTGCTGTATTGTCATGTATATGTTGTTTAAAGCATAATAAAAAAAAAAAAAAAAAAAAAAAAAAACATTTCTAACCGGCATGCATCTTGCGGTGATCACCGGTGATCGATTCTGCGCAGATTTTGGCCAAGTCAAACGAGCCTAATGTATACTGTAGTGCTTTTGAACCATGTTATAAAATAGCCTATTTAAATTTTATATTTCTGGTATCACAACAACTATAAACACAACACAATACTGAATAAACATGTTCAAAAATGCTATAATATTTACTATAAATCACCATAGTATTTTTTCATGAGGTCATTCGTCTGCGATAAAAAACGCGAACGAGATCTCCGCCACTGGTGACGTTTCCAGGTGGCTTAACAGCGAGATTCGGCAAGTGTCGACTTCTGATGTCATTTTTGAGCCCTCCTCTTACTGCGCACGCCTGCTCTCGTTTACAATGCAGTCAAGGCGAGGCGCACCTCAAACGAGCCTAATAACTGGGTTTATTAATAGCCTTATTGTTATTATTTGACCAACTGCCTATAGGCACAACCTCAAAATGGTTTCTGGCAGTTATAAAAAAAATAAATAAACAAACGCATGCACTCAAGGTGTGCTGCAATTGTCTTTCATATATAAAATAAAAGTTTGTATGTTAGAGAGAAATAGAATTGCGGCTCATCGCGTGCATTTACTTAATTTTATAACAGCCAGTAAGAGATATGCAAACTCGGACATAATGACACCTATTTTAAGGTTTTGCTTATAGTGGCAGGTAATATTACCATAATAATAATAATAATAATATTTTATTATTATTATTATTATTAGCAGGTTGTTGTTATTCTGTTCATTGTTGTGCCAAGGTCCTGTAAGCCTAAAAAGAACAGCTGGGGAGAATTGTGTCACTTTTAACAAATAAATAAATATATATAAGCTAATTTATAATAAGCTTAAATGATAGTTTTTTATAAAATAGTGTAAGTATAAAAAAAATTTAGTCCCATACCCAAAACTGAAACGAGTAAGCTATAGGCTATAAGATTTTTTTTTTCAGAGAGAGATAACTGCAGGGCCAGGGTTTTGCATTGTGAATTATATTTTTCAATACTATAGCTAACAATTTTGCTTTTGAACTACATAGCCAGTCAAAGCACAGTATAATAAGTAAAACTGGCCACAATTTAGTTTGGATGCGATAAATTGGAAGAAAATATATACATTAAATACAAAGGCTGGTTATTTTACTGGTGATAAGGCACACTACAGTGTAACCTTACATTTTACTCATTATTTTAATTGATAATTTGTTAATTAATACTGGGCGAGGCAGTGGCGCAGTAGGTAGTGCTGTCGCCTCACAGCAAGGTTGCTGGTTCGAACCTCGGCTCAGTTGGTGTTTCTGTGTGGAGTTTGCATGTTCTCCCTGCCTTCGCGTGGGTTTCCTCCGGGTGCTCTGGTTTCCCCCACACTCCAAACACATGCGGTACAGGTGAATTGGGTAGGCTAAATTGTCCGTAGTGTATGAGTGTGTATGTGAATGTGTGTATGGATGTTTCGCAAAGATGGGTTGTGGCTGGAAGGGCATCCGCTGCATAAAAACTTGCTGGATAAGTTGGCGGTTCATTCTGCTGTGGCGACCCCGGATTAATAAAGGGACTAAGCCGACAAGAAAATGAATGAATAATTAATACTTAAATGTAAAAATGATATTGAATCTACTTAGAAAGATTTTTTATTTACTTTAAAAAATGTCTGGTGCAAAGTTTAATAGCTGTTAGTTGTGAAAGTTATTGATGTACTCTGGCTCCTTTAAGGGAGGTGCACCGGAAAGTAGGAGAGAGGAAAAAGAAGGAAGTGGAGAAAAGTTCGGCAGATGCAATGCTGTAGTAATGCTGTTTGTGAATGTTATGTTGATGCTCCAGATTAAAGACAAAGAAATGAATTATCACCCTGGTAACCCGCGTTTAATTATGATACCCACGTTGGAGAGACTGGTTTTTAAACAGCCAGAAACATGGGTTACAACAGATTTTCAACAAAAATATTATAAGGAAACCTATTTGACAACAACAGATCCTATAAATGTTATAACAAATGCCCTTAATTACCTAGCCTAGTTGACAGCAAGCATCAAATGTTTATTGAGTTTGTGTCTGTTATCTTTCTTTATGAAGCATTAAACAGAAGGGCTGACGAGGTGCATTTATTTAGCCTGTAACCTACCCTATAGATTTTTTTTTTTTTTTTTTTTTTTTTTTTGCATAGAATGTTCTTAAAATTTCATTAAAATGTATATTTATAGTTTTTATTTAAAATATAAATATATAAAAGGCGTGTATTTTATAAAAGTGTATTTTGTTTATGGACTATGTGCGTCTCGCTGGCGCATCTGTGACCAAGACAGAATGTGTTTGTTTCAATAGAGATATTACTTTTTGAAAAAAAGTGGATTGTAACAAATTTAGAACAAATATAATAAATGTAAAAGAAATTAAAGGGAACAAGAGAGAGAAAAGACGAAGAAAAAAATAAAAAATTAAGGGCACATAAAGATAAAATAAATTATTGCAGAATTTTAAATAAAGCACATATTTTAGAAGTTTTAATAGCTTTCTTATTGTGAGAGTCTGTGATGTTTTTTTAAATAAAGAGCTAGTTCTCGTTTAAAAAATAAAAATTTAGGCTTACCATGAGTATATTTGCATTTGTGTATAAAAAACTTTCCAATAAATAAAATGAGGTTTATGCAAAAAGTTGCATTAAGGAATTCTTTTCCTTTAATATAAAGCCCCAAAATAACATGACGATAGCTTAAAGAAAAATCACCACAAACCTTTTGGACAATTAAAGAGTTTACATCGGACCAAAAAGATTTAACAGAGGGACACTCCCAAAACAAGTGAGCAACAGATTCAGAAGAGGTTTCACAGAAAGTTTTAAATGTTTTATTGGAGGTAGTCTACTTTATTTAGCCTAAAATAAGCACTGTACTGTCGACAAGAGCGAATTAAAATGTTAAAGTTAGTACATATGTGTTACTTTGATATTTCACAGTAATGTAAACTAATATTAATTTTAATGGTTTCAGGAGTGACAAAATTACCCCTACAACAGAAGAGAAGAGCCAAGATGAAGGGAGCTATTCACAGAGCTGGAGGAAACGCAGGTAAAACTATAATTAACTGTTAAATAGATTAATGTGCATTTGAATAAGAAATCCCTACATTATCATGCATCTGATACATGTCTTGATTGCAGTTATTTTAAAGTTTTGACATCTAAACATAAGTGAGTGGTTTTAAAAAATTGTTTACATTGCTTTTCTCAAAGCTGAATTTACAGCATCAGTGCTCCAGTCCAAAATGTAATATTGTATTTATAATTTGCTGCTGATCAAGCAAGATTTTTTTATTTTTATCATGTTTTGTTATTTCAGGATTCATTGATGAATAGAAAGTTTAAATTGAAAAGTATTTGAATTAGAAATCTTAACTCTCTTCTGATCAGTTTTATGCACCCTTGTTTAATACAAGTATCCATTTCTTAAAATGTGTTAGTAATATATACATTTTTTATTACTTTTTTCTAGATTTTGGATCGTCCTCCACTCACTCTACCACTTTGTTTTTCCTTGTCAGACTTCATTTAAGGTAAGTAATTTTATAGTGTCACTTAAAAGTGTTCCCAATGATTACTTTTATTAATGTTAATATTAATATCAACTGCATCAAACAAATTAGCCTATTAGAATGATTTCTGAAGGATCATCTGACACTGGAGTAATGATGCTAACAAATCAGCTTTGACCTCACATTAATAAAATACATGGTCACATTTTATTTTGATGGTCTGTTTGTTGAATTTAAGCTGCATTGCATCTACATGCCAACTAATTCTTATTAGATTATAAGTAGACTGTTAGGGTTGCGGTTAGGGTTGGTGTAAGTTGACATGTACTTGGTAAGTTTCTTATAGTCAGTTATATGTCTGTTAAAGGAGCAGAATCAACAGATTTTAAGCAGACAGTCTATTAATACTCAAATGGACCATCAAAATAAAGTGTTACCAAATATATTTTAAAATGCATTGACATTAAAAATCATTATTTTAATCTGTAAAAATATTTCAGTGCTACTTTTAAACTGTAAATTAATGTTATCGATCAAATCAATGCAGTCTTGATGTCCAATAAAAAGACAATAAAAAATACAAACATTAATGTCAATAATGATCTAGTTACTGATGATGGACAAAAATGATGACTGATGATTCTGTTATTTCAGGATAAGAAAGAAGCCTGCTACAAGAGAGACAGCGGAAGGGAGCCTCAAAGACATTTTTATTTGGATCTGCTAATCCTGAGGGGGCAGACGAAAGAACCTGCATTTTCCTTCAGCTTAATATCAGAGGTCACCACAACGTAAGGAACTGGATATTACTTTGGCATATGTTTTACACAGCGGATGGCCTTCCAGCTGCAACCCAGCACTGTGAAACACCCGTACACTCTCGTATTCACAGACACTTCTACACTATGTTCAAGTTCACCTATAGCACAAGTGTTTGGACTGTGGTGGAAACCCACACCAAAACAGGGAGAACATGTAAACTCCACACAGAAATGCCAGCGGACCCAGTCGGGACTCATACCAGCAACCTTTTTGCTGTGAGGTGACAGTCTGCCACTGTGCTGCCCCAGTGTAGTTGTTAATAACCTCCAGATGTTTTAGTTAGGGACCGAGCACCGAAACGGTGCGTAGGCCCTATTGGAATTGCTCCGTTTTTTATTATTATTATTATTATTCCGCCCCCTATCGGGGCACTTTTGAGGGTCTAAACATGCCCGAAAACTCATGAAAATTTGCACACACACCAAACGCGGTGTAAATAGCAGGTTGATATGGGTCTCGGAAGTGGGCGTGGCAAAATGACTCGACAGCGCCACCTAGAAAAATTAAACGGACGAGCCCCCGATCTACGAATCACGCACATGCACGAAAATTGGCACACACCTCAAACATGCCAAACCACACAAAAAAGTCTCTTGGAGCCATATCTCAAACCCAACAGGAAGTCGGATATTTTTAACTTCCTGCGGCGAAAAAGTGGCGTTTTTGCTATTTCCAGGCGTTGTACTTTAACGAACTCCTCCTAGGGATTTTATCCGATCGACACCAAAATTGGGTTTTGTCATCTAAAGGCCTTGACGATGTTAAATTGCGAAGCTTTTGAGTTTTCGTCGATGGGCGTGTCCGTGGCGCCCTCGCAAACTTTGATGATTCGCCACAAAACAGGAAGTCGTTATAACTCAGGCATGCATTATCAGATCTGCCTCAAAATTCACACGTTTGATAAGCGTCCTGACCTGAACACGTTTACATGCCAATATCCAGATATAGTTATAGCGCCACCTGCTGGCCACAGGAAATGACATGATTTACGGAGTAATAAACTCCTCCCACAAATTTTTTCGTATCAGCACCAAAATTGGTTGGTGTTATCTGAAAGCTCTAGCGATGATATATTGTGAAGATCTAGAGTTTTGGCAGAGGGGCGTGTCCGTGGCGGTATGACAAACCTCAACGCTTCGCCATGGAACAGGAAGTCCTTATAACTCAACCACACAATGTCCGATCTGCCTGAAACTTCACATGGTTGATAAACGTCATCTCTTGAACACATCCACATAACAATATTGAAGTGGGCGTGGCAAAATGACTCGACAGCGCCACCTAGAAAAATTAAACGGACGAGCCCCCGAGCTACGAATCACGCACATGCACGAAAATTGGCACACACCTTAAACATGCCAAAACATACGAAAAAGTCTCTTGGAGCTATATCTCAAACCTAACAGGAAGTCAGATATTATTAACTTCCTGCGGCAAATAAGTGGCGTTTTTGCCATTTCCAGGCGTTGTATCTTAACGAACTCCTCCTAGGGATTTTATCCGATCGACACCAAAATTGGGTTTCGTCATCTAAAGGCCTTGGCGATGTTAAATTGCGAAGCTTTAAAGTTTTTGTCGATGGGCGTGTCCGTGGCGGCCTCGCAAACTTTGATGATTCGCCACAAAACCGGAAGTCATTATATCTCAGGCATGCATTATCCAATCTGCCTCAAAATTCACATGTTTAATAAGAGTCCATACCAGAACATGTTTACATGCCAATATCCAGATACAGTTATAGCGCCACCTGCTGGCCACAGGAAATTACATGATTTACAGGGTTACAAACTCCTCCCACAAATTTTATCGTATCAGCACCAAAACTGGGTGGTGTTATCTGAAAGTTCTAGCGATGATATATTGTAAAGATCTAGAGTTTTCACAGAGGGGCGTGTCCATGGCGGCATGACAAACCTCAACGCTTCGCCATGGAACAGGAAGTCCTTATAACTCAACCACACAATGTCCGACCTGCCTGAAACTTCACATGGTTGATATAAGTCCTCTCCTGAACACATCCACATAACAATATTGAGTCTGTCATAGCGCCACCTGCTGGCAGATAGTAGTTTGGCTTACAAATCAGCCACACAATGTCTGAACTGCTTGAAACTTCACATGGTTGATTAAATTCCTCTCCTGAACACATTTACATGCCAATATTGAGTCTGTCATAGCGCCGCCTGCTGGCAGAAGGTAGTTTGGCTTATAACTCAGCCCCACAATGTCTGATCAGCCTGAAACTTCACATGGTTTAGTAAAATCCTCTCCTGAAGACATCTACATGCCAATATTGAGACACAGTCATAGCGCCACCTGCTGACAGGAGGAAGTTTGGCATAAATCTGTGATTTTCTCTGGTTCTTTTCATATATCGGCTTAAGTTATTATCGTTCGCTGTTCTTTGTCATCCGGAGTTCACCGGCGGCGGTGAGCCCGGGTGCGAGGTCCCTATCATCGCTGCTTGCAGCTTTAATTTGATTTTGTAATAATAATGCACGTTTACATTTATTGTAATATGCATGTTAATATTTATTCACAATGTCATTTATTTTTATGTTATTTATAATAACGTTAAATGTCATAAGAATGTTATAATTTATTATAATATTATAATAAATAATTATAATAATGTTAAAATATAAATAATACAAATTTATTTATAATGTTTTTAATAGTTTATTTTTATAATGAGAAGTCTCAAAGTTTGTCTTTATTATAGAAAACTCATTGTTAAATGGCTACCACTTTACAATAAGGTTGTATGTATTAGTTAATGTATTTACTAACATATTAAACAATACATTTATACAGTATTTATTCATCTTTGCTAATGTTGGTGAATGGTAAAAAGTTGTTAATTGTTTATTCATGTTAACTCGCAATGTATTAACTAATGTTAACAAGCATGACTGATTTTATTAATGCATTAGTAAATGCTGTACATAAATTATGCTGTACAGGTATTGTTTATATTAGTTCATATTTAAACCATTAACATTACTTATAAAACTACTGTACAATGTAACTGTTGTATGTATGTTGTTATATTATATTTGTATGTATTTTATATGTAGTTTATATGTATTTTATATTTATTTTGTTATATTTGTTAACATATGTGTTTTTGAAACATTTCATTAAGTGTTTAATGTATGTTCGTTATGCAGTATTATAAATAAATGTTATAATGATTAAGTATTTTGTACTTGATTTCATTATTGGACATATTGAATACAATTGTAAAGGCTAATATAATATTTTAAAATGGCATGTGGACCGACCGTGGGCCGCCAGCAGACACTTATTTAAAACCAGCGGTGCGATGGCGGACCACCGTCGGAAAAGCGGCGGCAGCCGCTGGTGGGCCGCTGGAATAACGATGAGCAAATTGACGGTGGACCGCGGGCGGCACCCGCCGGTGGACCGCCGACTTTGCCGCCGGCGGGCCGCCAGTGGCCCGCTGGTCTTATGTTAGCTGGGTACGACCATTTAATATCATCAAATAGGTTGTTCCAATAAGAAATAGAAGAAGGATTTGAGATGATAAGGTCTAAAAATAAAGATCTGATTTTATGATTGGATTTTTTAGTGGAAAAACAAATAGAACCAACAACAGTAGAATCAGGACTAAGGGAACAAGCAGAAATCAATGAATTATTATTATTATTTCTAAAAAGCATACAGATTTCAGAGTAGATGGCCTTACAAACTATATTAAATTCTTTTTTACATATGTCAAGACTATATCTTGCAGTAAAATCAGAGTAAGTAAATAAATTACCATTACTGTCAAATAACTGCTTTACTAATATCACACCGTTACTGCACCAATTATTAAAGAATATAGATTTCCTCTTATATAAAATATTACAATTGTTCCAAATTAAAAAATTGTGTGGCGAGAAATTGTGCTTAAATAAGTTTCCAAGCCTGAAGCATTTGCTGATGAAAATTGGAAAGTTTGATAGGCAGTTTGTTAATTGAGAAATTACACATTAATAAAAAGTCAATGCCTCCTAATTGAGAAAAAATATAATTAGGAATTACATTCCAAATAGAAGATTGATTGTGGAGAAAGTCTTTAAGCCAATTTATTTTTAAGGTATTATTAAGTGAATCAAAATCTATGAAGTTTAAGCCGCCCTTATTATAGGAATTTAAAATAACTGATTTTCTAACATAGTGCGTTTTATTCTTCCAAAGAAATTTAAACAGCATTACATCAATCAATTTACAGGTCGGTTTATCTACAAATAAAGAATGAGCCGCATAGGATAACCTAGAGATGCCTTCAGCTTTTGTAAGTAAAGTCCTACCTTTTAAAGATAAATCTCTTAGTAACCAAACATTAAATTTTTTTTTAGTTTTTTCTAATATAGGGTCAAAGTTTTCCTTACATCTTAGTTTTATGTCTTTTATTATTCTAATTCCTAAATATTTTACATTCTCTTTGACAGGAATATTATAAATAGAGGTGGCAACACATTTTTTAATCGGAAGCAACTCACACTTATCAATATTAAGCTGAAGGCCAGAAGCATTAGTAAAAAACTGAAGAGACTTTAAAGCAATTGGGATCTGAGAGACATCTTTTAAAAACAACGCAGTATCATCAGCTAACTGGCTGATTATTAATTCTGTTCCAGCGACAGAAATTCCTTTAAGAGGACTTTCTTTAAGTAAACTTAAAAATTGTGTAGCAATTAAGAACAGATATGGGGAAATGGGGCATCCTTGTCTTACACCACACTTTAAATCAAATCTGGGAGAAGTGCCATTATAAAGCCGAATAGAACTATTTCCATTATTATAAAACATTTTAATACAATTACAGAAAAAACTACCAAAACCAAGTTTACGCAGGGCCTGTAATATAAAATCATGTTCTAGGCAATCAAATGCTTTATAATAATCCAAAAAAAGAATAAAACTGTCAGTAGAAATAAGATCTGAATAATCCAATAAATCTAAAATCAAGCGGATATTATTAGATATATGTCTCTGGGGTATAAAACCTGATTGGCACTCATCTATTATACTATTTAGAATAGATTTTAATCTTTTTGCTAAGACTAGGGCAATAATTTTGTAGTCAGTGTTCAATAAGGAGATTGGACGCCAGTTTTCTATTAAAAGGGGGTCTCTATTGGACTTGGGTATTAGAGTTATTAGACCCTGACATAAAGTAGGAGGGAGCATTAAATTCTCAATACTTTCTAAAAACATTTTTTGTAAAAAAGGAGTCAGTTTTTTTTAAATAATTTATAAATTTCTGCAGACAACCCATCAGTTCCAGGGGATTTATTATATTTGAGATGATCAATTGTCTCAGCAATTTCAGTAAGACTAATAGGTGCATCACACAGAAGACTCTCTTCAGAACTGATTTTATTTATGTTGGATAACGAATCAAAAAAATGTGTGGCGGATGCCTGACAAAATTTAGAAGAGTATAAATCTTTATAAAATCTGGCACAAAATTCTGCAATTGTTTTGAGGTCCTCAGATATATTTCCGTCAATACGTAGTTTTTGAATAGAATATTTAACTCGCTGCCTTTCTAGCCTAAAAAAATATGCAGAGTTCTGCTCACCCTCTTCTAGCCATTTTCGACGAGACCTTATGAAGGCACCTTCAGCTTTTTGTTTATATATATTTTCTAAAAGATGTTTCTGATCTATAAATTCAGATCTCTCTGTGTCGGTAAGATCCTCTATATTTTTATGTGATAATACAGATATTCTAGCCATAATTTGATCTTCATTTTTTTTTTCGAGTTTTTGCTAATAGACTACAATAATTTCTACAGTATTTACCAATTTCAAATTTAAGAAGTTCCCAATTGCTACAAAATAAATTTTCTTTATTAGCTTTATCCCAATAAGAAGAAATTAAATAATCAATTTTAGTTTGAACTTCATTGTGTTTTAAAATTGAATTATTATGTTTCCAGTATGAGGATCTTTTATGTGGGGGAGTAGAAGATATTGGTACATAGATAATAATGGCTTTATGATCAGAAAATAAAGAGGGAATAATATCCGTTTTTATGTTTGATAATTCAGCTGAAGTTAACCAATAGTCAAGACGGGATTGATTAGAAAGTGAGTTATTGTTCCAAGTGAAAACTTTTTGTAAAGGATGAGTTTCTCGCCACACATCAACAACAGAAAACTTTTGTACAAAAGAAAATAAATAATCATTATTAATACAGGTGGGATGGGGGGGCCATCTATCTAATGTGTTATTAAACACAACATTAAAGTCACCACCAATAATTAAATAAGAGTTTGGATATTTAGTTAACATTTTAGATAATTGAGTTTCTAATTTACTAAAAAAAACCTTATTATCTTTTGGAGAATTATAACCATAAATATTGGCAATAACATACGTTAGGTTAGCAAACTGTAAAGCTAGTAAAATGAAATGACCATTAATATCACAATCACTAGCCAAAATGTGTCCACAAAAATTATTTTTTAAAATACAAACTCCGGCAGAATGTTCATTTCCATGGGACACCCAAATTTCTGACCCCCATTGTGATCTCCATAAATTAACTTCTTGTACGGTTGAATGAGATTCTTGAAGAAAGCAAAAATCTGTTTTAAAACGTTTAAGAAATAAAAAAACTGCTTTTCGCTTAAGAATGTTGCGTAGCCCTCTACAATTTAAAGAGACAATAGACAAGGACATAAAAACAAGAAGGATAAGAAAAAACACTGGAAACAGGAACAAGACCTAAAAATTACTACAAAGTGAGAATATCACTATAATGGAAAACCAAATGGTCAAACCCTAAATCGGAAGGGATGAGGACAACAATCCCTTTATAATTAGTTTGAACTGAACTTTTGAAGTATGAGAAAATCAGGTATCTTCGAGGTGGAGAAAAAGAGAAAAAAAAAAAAGTTTTATGCTGCAGTCCATACTATAGCACCGCCAAAAGGCAATGAAGATGGATCATATCAAGTCCAAACTTTAGATTTTATGTAGGAGGAAAAATCTCTGTACCATCCACAAAAGCGCGTCAGCCCACGAAGAACGCTCGCTTGTTCTCTTTTCGAGCTTTTTCAATTATTGGCCACAGCTTCAATCTTCTTGCTCGATCAGCTGGTGACAAGTCCTCCGTGATTTTCAAACGATTTTTTGTCAGAAAGTCAGCATCCTTTGCAGCACGCCAAACTGCATCTCAGTAAAAGCGCGATGTAAATCGGAAGAGAATACCACGGCCCTTGCTGTGTGGGTGAACACGGCCAAGACGGTGTGCCACATCAATGACATCAGGAAATTTCTCCTTAAACTGAGGAAGAATCTGTTGGCACACGTCAATAATCTCCTGACGGACATTTTCTTTATCTTTCTCAGGAATTCCGTGGATCCTTAGATTCCATCGACGAGTGTAGGTTTCTAAATGCGCCAGGCGTTGTTCTCGTTCAGTGGAATTAATTTCTTTTTTCTTTGTGCGCGAGTCAATGAAATCAACTCTTTGTTTCAGATCTTTAACCTCGTTGCAGATGAAATCAATAGTTTCCAACACACCAGAGATTTTTTTCTGTGTTCTTGCCGACCTCTTCTTTTATGTCTTTGATTATCCGGGAGTTTTCAACTATCAGCGTTTGTAATTCGTCTGATCTATTTGTCACCAACTGAAATAAATCAGAGAGTTGCGAGGAGACACTTGTCGCGTCGAATTTGTCCGTTTTCCTTATTTTGACCACGGGAGAATTGCACGGAGTGTCGGGTAGCAGCGGGATTACTTCCTCCATGAGCATAACCACAGAATCATCGTTTTGCTCAACGTAGTCGTGCATGTTATTTTTCAAAACCCCGACAGCAGAAGCATAATCACATCCTTGCGATTCAAGCGAGTTACAGGCCGTTTTGCTAGGAGAGCTAGAATTAGCAGCTGTGCTCGACACTGTTTTCCCGGACTTCTTCACATTTTTTCTCTTTTCAGAACCACCCATTACTATGATTAAGATGCCTTAGGTAGTAAAAAACATTAACCAATCAAAATAAATTTCTCACAATTCAGTAGAACTTCCAAAATAAAGTTTGGGATCGGGAGCCTCTCAAACAAGCGTGTGATCAGAGCGCCATCTTGACACGCCTCCGACGCCACGTGACTAGGCTCGTTTGACTTGGCCAAAATCTGCGCAGAATCGATCACCGGTGATCACCGCAAGATGCATGCCGGTTAGAAATGTGTCCGCCTTGCCTTCGCCTCGCTCTGATGTCACGCTGACGTGCGCCAAAAAACTCTCGCGATCGCGAGGCAGGTACCTCGGATAGAGCAGTCGGCCGCAGTTGCTCTCAAAAGACTGCGTTACCAAAAGCATGATGGGAAACGACTGGCTGACGACACAGCTTAATGCTGATTGGATGAGACTGACACATTACACTTTATTATCTTGTTTTACTAAGGTTTATACCTGGATTTGTTGAATACCTTTTTTTTTTTGTATTTTCGTTGATAATTAAAAAAAAGTCATAAAGAGCATTACATATGGTTATTTATTTAGATTTACACACAAACAAAAACAAAACACATCTTTGTAAAACATAACGTGACCTATCCAATATAACTAAATGTTACTAATAAATCATTAATGTGTGTGTGCTGTATTTTATTTCTCTCTCAGTTTTAAGTCCTGTTTGTTGTCATTTTCACTTTTTGTATGTTTGTGTGAATTTTGTATTGTAATTTTTATGCAGCGTTATTCAATGAAAGTCAATCCAATATATACATATATTCAGAAATACAAAGGTAATCAGACTGTTTTGTCATTATGCCTCATCTTTGTGTGGATTCATATGAGAAGTGAAAAGGGTGTAGTAAACAAGACACACACACACACACACACACACACACACACACACACACACATACATACACATATAATATATATATATATATATATATATATGTGTGTGTGTGTGTGTGTGTGTGTGTGTGTCTTGTTTACTACACATCAGAGCAAGGCGAAGGCAAGGTGGACACATTTCTAACCGGCATGCATCTTGCGGTGATCACCGGTGATCGATTCTGCGCAGATTTTGGTCAAGTCAAACGAGCCTAACGTGTTAAAGCGTAAATGACGTGTTAACGCGTAAATTACGTGTTAACACGCAATTACGCGTTAACACGTTTGTTGCAGACGTTTTGGCCCCAACGGCCTTCCATATGCGTAAATACGCATTTACGCAGTTTGCGTAGCTTACGCAGTCACGCCCCCTGGGTCACAGATTTCTACGGTCACAGAATATGGTGTAACAGTCATCTGGAGTGAGGACCCTCGTGCTTTGTTGAAGTTATGAATGGCGTATCTTTTAATCGCTTAGAACAGGAAATGCTTTATTACCACCGTTGGAGATCAAAGACCGTTATTCTACTTTTTGTATATTTCCTTATCTGCGTCAGAATATCAGGTGAGTGGGCTATGTGTCATCTTGGTCTGTGTAACGCTTTACAGTGCTTTGCTCAATTCACACTGTCAAAATTAAACAAATTAAAAATGCATCTCAAACTTTCATTTTCTATTTTTTCTGAGTACTTCAACAACGGATAATTCTCACCCAGCACGAGACGACATTTCGACGTTTAGTTTAAAATAACGTTATATAACAAATGGATGAGAGAAATAAGAGGAAATGAGAGGTTAATATAAACAAATAAACGAACAGGTCTATTAAATACAAAGCAATAAGCATAAATTCTAGGAGTTAAACATCAACCTTTAGGCTAATACTTCTTGTTTAAATACGCTAAAAAAGGGTTTACATATATGTACATTTATAGATATAAAAATTTCCAATGTACAAAGCAAAACAAGGTTTTTTGATTAGGTCTTAATAAATGAGATTATTTTGGATAATGAATAAATTTTCAAAAAAGCATTTTAATCCAAAAAGATTGTGTTGAAAAGAACAAAAGGTAAAATAAGTGAGCTATGTAGAAGTTTCCCAGAAAGAGCAGGTAGCCTTTAAACTGCTAGACAAGAAATAAAATATATATTTATATTATAATAATAAAACCATTTTATAATTATTTAATAAAATAGTTCATGGAGATGAATGCAGTAAATAGTCTGTATAAAAAAGTTGAAAATAAACCTGCGCAAACAAGCTAACCTTTATAACCAGATTATTTAACAAAAGATGACTACTGCAGTAAAATATTTGTAGTCTTTTAATAAGCAAGATGTGTACAGGATAGAGAGGGTGTGAAAAGTGAATTGTTTGTTTTGAAACTTTTGAATCGGAATTTGTCAAATTATAAACCCGAAATACACGTGTTGGTCGTCATGTGGTGAACTCGGCCAATCATGTAATATCGGTGTCGTCATCAAAGCTCCTGCAGTCGCTCTTCAGAAGCTGCACGGTCTGAATCAGCCGTCTGATCTCGGAGCGCTGTCGCGGTTATTTGATGCCACATGTGACAGTCACGTGATGTCGCCGCAGCATCAATCCGGACAAGATTTCTAACCAGAATGCACCGCTTTAAGACAGATTTCGATCGATCTGCGCAGCGCTGCATGAAGTCGAACGCACCTTTTATTTAGCCCAAATTTCGACGTCGAAAATTGGTCTGTATTTGGTCCGTCGGATTTGGTCCAAACATAGACCAAATATAGACGTGGTCTTTGTTTTGTCCGTCGGATTTGGTCTAAACAAAGACCAAATATCGACGTGGTTGTTTTGCCCATCGGATTTGGTCCAAACATAGATCAAATATCGACGTGGTTGTTTTGCCCGTTGGATTTGGTATAAATATAGACCAAATATCGATGTGGTCTTTGTTTTGTCCGTCGGATTTGGTCCAAATATAGACCAAATATCGACGTGGTTATTTTGCCTGTTGGATTTGGTATAATATAGACCAAATATCGACGTGGTCTTTGTTTTGTCCGTCGGAGTTGGTCCAAATATAGACCAAATATCGACGTGGTTGTTTTGCCCGTCGGATTTGGTCCAAACTTAGACCAAATATCGACGTGGTCTTTGTTTTGTCCGTCGGATTTGGTCTAAACATAGACCAAATATCGACGTTGTTTTGCCCGTCAGATTTGGTCCACATTTAGCCCAGTATCAGACTTGAACATATGGTTAAAAATAATTACATAAGTTCCTCACAAAATGTTTTACATCTATTGCTTTTTTCCAGTCCAATGTAGAATGCAAAATATATTTAAATAGCAGTTTAGTGCCATTACATTTCAATAATGGCAAACAAATAACGACGTTACTGCTGTTAACTCCTCTATTTTCCCTTCTGCTTTATACACTGATGCAAATACTTTTCATTTAAGTTGATTTATTAATAAGGCAAAAGATTGTAACAAATAATGTAAATTTAAAATTTGAAGTCCATCAACGTAAAAAAATAGATTAAATAAAATAGGGTAGAAAAAAACTAAATCGTAATACACTTTATAATGCCATTTTCTTTTATGATTTAATCTATTTATCTTATTATTAATAAATCATAAATGTACTATAATCCTATTTGCTGTAACAATAGGCTAAACAGGATGCTCATCAATACATATTTTTACAAATAAATTAAAGGGTTAAATTATTTTACAAATTATTAATTTCTACATCAATATAAAAACCAATAACTTCATTACTTCTTACCTCGGGGGAGCTTTTTCCATATTGCCCACTCACCAGACAACAACAATACAATATTTTTTAGTGATGCGTTTCATAGCTGAGAAAGCATAGTGTATTTAAAAACAAAAAAACATGGTTTTAACAACCCAGGCTCATTTACAATCAATATATTAAAATGAATAACGTAAATAAAGTATTGTCTTGCTTTGCTTTGATCTTTTCTCTTACTCGCGTTGCTGCGTGTCCCTGACCTGTGTGAACAATATCGAGAGGTCAGTAAAACTGAACTTATTTCAATATGATTTAAAATCAGTGTAAAGTGCTGTCGATTGATGTGTTGTCCTTTTCCCCTTTAAATATGCCAAATTATCATATGTGATCTCCTCAACTGACAAGGGAAAAACGTCAAAAACATACTAGATGCTTTAAACTGTTCACTGCGGTAGTGCTATGCAAAATGGAAATTTTAGGATTCAATAATGAATTTTAAATAAATATTTGTGAATACAAGATGTTTCAGAGTGCAGGTCGATGCACACACATAGGCAAAGAGCGCTATGATAATGCTAAACGCCATCTATGTCGATTAAAACAAGTTATATGCGATTTAAAAAGAACAGTATTTTTTAATATAGGCTATAAATAATCATATATATTTTCTACAACCAACAAGTAGAATAATATGCAAAGATTTGCTATTCAAAAATTTGTTAATAATATAAAAAATACTGATGTCCACATTGGCTCTAGTGCATTAAATAATAATTAATAATAACATTAAGATTTTTTTTATCACAAAATATAGAAAATGGTATGTTGATATTTATTGAAGGTATCATTTCAATGTTTAAAATTCCACCATTGTGAAAAACTAGTTACAATTGTTGTAAAGTTTATTATATCCACTAAAAACAATATGGGGGATTCTATTGCATATACGTTTGACATTAAAAATAAATGTAAATTATATTAGAATTAAAGCTCTTTAAAACTACAATTGTTTCCAGTATCTTATTTAGCTTTTATAATTCAGCTTTTGCCAATCATAAATGATTAAATGTTTTAATTTAAGGAATAAAAAGATTTTTTATATTGTTTGTAAACTTACAATATGGATGAATTTAGTAATGTGTAAAAATAACACTAAATCATAGCAAGAAACCTCCTTATGGGTAATTACTAAATTGTAACTGAATTGGCAGTAACAATTTACAATTTTACAATGTTTTTAGCCAAACATTCTACTTGCTATAAATGCTAAGATCACTTGACACTGAAATCAGGATTCAAATATTTTTTAATTTTCCAATATTTGATTTTTATTAGCAGTATTATTTTTATATGCATATATTTGTTTTAATAAAAAAAATTATAATTCGATTTATCCACCAGTCAGATTTTGGAGCGTATGGGGCACAGCATGTGTATTTAGATATATTAATTTTTTTTTACCACACTTTGTTATTATTGCTCATTTATTCGTTTGCAGGAAATTCGAACTGAATTTAGAACTAGTTTAGAAACAAGTCTTTGCGCTTAACAAACTAAATTATTATGTAGGCTAATGGATGTCTGTGCGCACAACACCATTTCCTTATCCACGAAAAAAAAACAAAGTTAAAATAAAGACAGAATGGAGGGGGATTAAAATATTACTAGCTGGGCTTCCAGCTAACTCTATCAAGCCTCTTCAACTGCTCCAGAATGCAGCAGCACGAGTGGTCTTCAATGAACCTAAACGAGCACATGTCACTCCGCTGCTAGTCCGTTTGCACTGGCTGCCAGTTGCTGCTCGCATCAAATTCAAAGCTCTGATGTTTGCCTACAAAGTGACTTCTGGCCTTGCTCCTTCTTATCTGCTCTCACTTCTGCAGATCTATGTGCCCTCCAGAAACTTGCGTTCTGTGAATGAACGTCGCTTCGTGGTTCCATCCCAAAGAGGGAAGAAATCACTTTCGCGAACGCTCACGCTCAATCTGACCAGTTGGTGGAATGAACTCCCTAACTGCATCAGAACAGCAGAGTCACTCGCTACTTTCAAGAAACGACTAAAAACTCAACTATTTAGTCTCCACTTCACTTCCTAATCTGCAATTGCCTCTCTGAATATCACACTAACTGTCTCCCAAAAAAAAAAAAAAAATCCTAATACTACTAATACTTCCCTTCTTAGACCTGAAACTTGCCTACAGCACTTATTCATTGTTGCTCTTAGTTGTGTAAATTGCTTCCTTGTCCTCATTTGTAAGTCGCTTTGGATAAAAGCGTCTGCTAAATGACTAAATGTAAATGTATTATAAAAATATTACTTTCTACATAAATATAAAAAAACACTGCCTCCATGCTTACTTCATCTCGGAGGCTTTTTTCAGTTTATTCATGACAACATTCTATTGTCCTGTGGTGATTGCCTCCTGACAGGTGGGCAAATCTAAACTTGTTTTTATGAAAACAAAAATGAATATGCATAATAGATACTAATAAACACTAATAATAATAATAATAATAATAATAATAATAATAATAATAATATTACACAAATGGAAATAGTCATTAATAAACAGACTACTAAAAAATGATTAATTGGATTAAGTACTTTATGGTGAGTGATTGTAAACAATTTATATGGGCTGAATGTAAACAAACAAATAAAATTTAGTGATGTTTAATTTAATTTATTTAAATTCAGCTTATATAAATTGTTTGCAACAATTTGCAATGAATCATATTTTTCTGTGTAGAGCTGGATTACAAACCCCCCCCCCCCATGTGAAGAAAGCATGGAAGAAGTATTTTTTATATTTATGTAGGAA